GAAATGGAGTGGTCATGGTGGCAGTGATGGAGGTTAAGCATGGGCTCAGCAAGACACTTCTAGTCATGTTGGGTAACCTGACTCCATCCACTACTGCACGCCCGATCTGCATGCATCAGGGCCCAACCATTAGTCCTCACTTTAACACCATTCTGCATGGTGATTGGCCCGCAGCCTGGTGGCAGATTGATTATATTAACCATATATAGCCATACCGAGGGTAACACCCCCCCCCTTTTTATCACTGTAGAGACCATTATTCTGGATGTAGATTTACATTCCCTGCACATAATGCTACTGCCCTAACTATCATTAGTAAATTCAGAAGAAGCCTTGTGCACTGTCGTAGTACTCTACACACCACGGCCTCTGACAAAAGAAAATCCTTCATGTCCAATGAAGTGTGGCAAAGGACACTTGTTCAATAAATTTGCTAATCTCATTATGTTTCTTACCATCCAGAAGCAGCTGGATTGAGAGAACCTGGTAGGATGGCATTTGGAAGATGTGGTTACAACACCAACTAAAAAGGAATACATTTCGGGACTAAGGCAATTTATGCTTTGAATCAGTCATCTGTATAAGATACTGCTTCTTCTCTTGCCAGGACATGTGAGTCCAGGAACCAAGGAGTGGAAATGTACCACTCACTGTTACCACAAATGACCCAGTAGGAAAATCTTCATTTCTGGTTTGAGAACTTATGAACTGTTGTCCTAGAGATCCAGAGGAGGGAGGGATTCTAGCAGGTGATGCATCGGTGATTCCACTGAAGTGAAAGCTAAGATTTCTGGTTGTATTGTATTCCTCACGCCCATGATTCAATACATTAAGAAGAAATGACAGTGTTTCTGGAGGTGATTGATCCAGACTATTAAGAGGAAATTGAACTTTTACTTCATACTGAAGATAGAAAACTATGTTTTGAGTACAGGAGATCCCTAAGGGAAATACTTAGCATTAATTCATCCTGTTATTAAGAAGAATGGGAAGCTACAAGCATCCAATGTGGCAGGATGATAAATGGCCCAGAACCTTCAAGGATGAAGGTATGGTTCACCATGTCAGGTAAGAAACAAAGACCCACTGAAGTCCATCAGAAGGCCGAAGGAATACAGAATGGGTAAAGGAGATTGTTTTTTTTTATGTAGGACAAATTTTATTTGATAAATATAACTTCATAAACTTTTAAAAAGTACTGAGCACTGTACAATAAATATGCTACAGTTACTGACAGTGCAGAGAATTTTTAAAGGATTACATTAGACAGCCAAAGAATCTGAGATCCAAAATTTTAAATAAGTATTGCTACACATCTCCAGCTAGTCATTTTTCATAAAAATCTATCACCATTATTACAAACATATCACTAATCATCATCTTTTTATGGAAATATCATTCAAGTTATTTTGCATATCAAACAGCATTTTAATAATGGTTTACTTTTATGAAAATAGGTGACTCATTTTAAGATAGAAATAAAAATGTCTATAAAGAGGGGCTAAAATTAATAAACATGTTTTACATAAAACTCTTTGGTTCGTTAGTTTTATCGGTACCTGCCTTTAAAAAAGTTCCCTGTAAAGATTGATTTTTACAGGGAAACCACAAACGTGAAAGATTCCTCCTTTCCCTCCGCCCCCAAGATGTTCAGAGTAGTGAATTTTAACACCTTCCACTCTTCACTGTAGGTTTTATCGGCCTTCACCCCTGCCGACTGAGAATTTCAAGCTCATCGTACAAGTTCTATTCCACCCACTTCCGCGGTGGAAGGGAGCTTAGTGCTGGAACTAACAGAGCTGCGAGCAGGCTGTTCCAGTGGTGGGGGGTTGCCAGTTCTCATCTGCTACTCAGAGAGTGCCAGGGTGGGGCGGACACCACAGCCGAAGAGAGCCGCGGAGCGCAGTTGAGAACCTCGGGCCCCCAACTTCCCCTCAGCCCCAAGCAAAGCCCGGCAGTGTAGCTCTCCTTCCGGAAGAGCCCACGCCGGCCGGAGCTGACCAGGGTGCTGAGTCACCTACCTGGAGCAGCGGATGCGCAGCTGGGGAAACAAACTCAGGGTCCTTATCTCCAGGGCCCCAGCCTTTCAAACGCAAAGGCAGGCGAGTGGGGCTCATAGATGCGAGAGCACTGCATATCTGAGAAGACTGTTAAAATACCATCTCAAAATGTGTGTCCAGCTAAAGAAATGAGAATTGCACTTGTCATGATTATTTCTTTGATTTTGATTTTGTCAATATGAGTGTGCATGTACACATTTTAGTATCTTTGGTTTCAGTGTACCATAAGAAATCACAATTGATATAATTGATTTAATTATAGTACTCAAGCATCATAAAATCTACATTATAAATTTTGGATGTGTGTTGCCAAGAAAGCACCATCATGCAGAAATTTACCTTATATCCTGTGAAAGGAATGAATGTACTTCCATTTGTGCAAATATTCATTGTATGATGTCAGGGATAATTATGAACTTATAATTTTATTGGAAGATGAAATACGGCTTAAGGAAGTGAGAAGAGCTGTCAAGGCAGCAACAAGGAGTAGAAGGTGGCTTTTAAGCATGCTATGTAGAATTGAATGAATTAAGAAATCCCGAGTAGATTAACATAGCACAGTTCTAAGTGTATTTGCATGACTAACCTGTAAGCTGGGAAACTGAGGGATGAAGCCACATCCCTGATTACAGTGGCACAAAACAATATCCTTGTAGCCTGGATGCAATAAAACGCTAAATTACAGAGGGAGTGTGACTGTTTGCATTGATCCCCAACATTTTTGGGAAATGTGGCCTTTGCTGCAGTCACATCTAAACATCAGTCTGCATGTATCAAGTGCCTTCACCTTCCAGGGCAGACTCACACTGGTGAACCTCCCATGAGTTTCCAAGCCTTTGACATTGGACAGCATCTCCAATCATGACCCCTCTCTTCTGCTGCAGGATCCAAGTTCCTTAGCTGAAGAGTAACTGGCTTATCTGGTTCTCCACCATGTGGACAGCCACTGTGGGTTCTCCTGCCTCTAATGCTGTAGGTCTAGCTAATAAATCTCTGTGTAAACTTATATGCGACTTTTGTTGATTGTATTCACCTGGATGAATGTAATGAATTCACCCAAAAGAAATGAAGCCAAAGTCAAATTCTTAAGTCTACTTTCTATCCCATGAGAATGCAGAGAACATTTCTGGGGCATATCTGTGAGGCTCCTGCTTGGATTGTATAAACAAGCAACATCTCATTCCTAATTCTGCCCTCCTATCAAAATATTCTGTTAGGCCATTGCATAACTCAAAAAGTATTGTGACAGGATGACTTCCTTCCATCTGCAATTGTGTTTGGTGTTCACCTGAGCTCAACCAACAGTCCCCAAACAATTTTGAACTCAACAGTAGCAATCTCTTATATTGCCAGTTATGTAAGACACTCGTCTCAATGAAACCTAAGGGTAGAGTTGGTATAAATATTTTCCAAAAGCCATGTCAGACCCAAACATGAGTCATACTGAGGAAAGAGTATCAGGTTGTTTGGAGATTATTTTTATATTTAACCTATTGTCGTCAGAGTTTGCAAGTGAAGAGATTTAATATAGGGCACATAATTAATAGGATTATTTATAATATTCACACAAAAATTCAAATGCAGAAGAGTGCAAGAGATCTATCCCATGCACTGAAGACTCAAATATACCACCTCAGGGCCTGGATCCCACGGCAATGTCCTCCATGAGTCCAGCTGGAGGCCTGGAGCCCACAACAATACCTCATGCAAGTCTTTATTACCATCTGCACTAGGAAGGCCCAAAGGTCAGTGGTGGAAGGTTAGAAAGAAGGTCTGTGCCAGAAGGGTGAAGATTCTGTGCCGCTAGGCTGAGAGATCTGCACTGGAGCCAGGAAACAACACTCAAGGTAAGGACCAGAGCTCTCCCAGTGAGAACCACAGCCACCCTCAGTGACAGGGAAGACATAAGCTCCTCCTATGATGAGAACAGCTGAGTTCACATCAGGAAAGCCAGTGTGACAAGCTTTTCCAGGAAAATCACAGCACACTGTCTTCCCCTCCAATTCTCCTTTTATGCTGTTGGCAGCAGTCCTCAGGTGGGCCTTCCACACCCATACTTTTCTGATTCAGTTCTCCTGGGTGTTACAAATTGACCAATAGTTAATGAACCACATTATTGAATGAGTCAAATAGGAGCGTAGACTTTATAACCTCTCTATGTCAAGTGAAGATTTAAAAGGGTATATGTAAAATAAGAAAGTGATAAATCATAGCTGCTTAGAAAAACATGAGTACAAAACCAAGTGGAAAACCCCAAGTTCTGCTCTGCTCCTTGTTAGGCATATACACTGCAAAGTAGGAAAAGGGAGACCATTGTTTAACGCATGTCTATTTGCCAAGGTAGAAATAAATTTACTGTATTGATCCATCATTTTTCTGATTCTATGTATAACCTTCCTGGATCATAGTTGCCAACTTAATATGTGGAAGGAAAGTGACAATGTTCAGAAACATGCAGTCTTTAGAAACACTCTTCAGAAACGTACACAATGACTATTATGACATATCTGGGTGTCTCTCCAAAAGCCTAAGGTGGGACTTTTCAGAGGCGGCTTGATGCAGAGTATGTGCTGCTGGGTTCAAGGGTGCGATGCTGGTATTCAGTTACTGTGTGATGTTAAGATAAAGGCTGCCCCATCATGGGTGTGAGTGCTGCCTGCCCTAAGGGTAGGTAGCCTGGATAAAATATAAAAACAGAAAGAGGGTCACTGCTAGTTGCTTTTCTCTTGTTGCATGCTGCTTGCTGCCTTCTGCTTGCCCAGCTTTGCCATGGACTGTTTCTCATATGTAATGTACTTCTGCCATGTCACCCTGCTTTGGACCAACCAACTACGAACCAAAACCTCTATAAACTGTAAGCTAAACATATCTTTCCTATTTTAATTTTGTGTGTTGGGTATTTTGTCTCAGCAACAAGAAAAGTAACTAAGATAATGGCGTTTATTTTGGGCAGCATGCAAAACAGAGCAAAGAGAAATGTGGGTCCCTGCTGATGAGCACAAATGGGCTGACACAGGAGAAGCTGGCAGCTAACAGTGCACTGGTGTCTACCAGCCACCGACGGGGTCTATCAAAGTAAGACATGTAAAAGGTGAAGAACGAAGACAGGGTGTATGTAGAGAAAAATGTGATTAGTAGTACCAAAATGGTCTGGGTGGCTCTGGTCTCAGCAGAGAATTTGGAAGAGAGGTTCTTGCTATGAATGTGTAGGACGTTCTGCTTATGTCTATACAAGATGAGCATCATGAAAACACTGACCCACAACATAAACCCCAAAGACAACACATCAATGGAAGACAATATCACAGAGTGCAATAAGGATGCCACTCTCTCGCTACTTGTGCTGGAACAAGACCCAAGGTCTCTGTAATGTGTGTGGTTGCTGCTTTCCTTCGCACCTGTGATAAATATAGGAAAAACACTGTTTGCCAGCATGTGAAGGATCCAGCATAAGGTAACAGAAAATCTCATGTACTTGGGCACTTTGGCCTTGAGTTTCACCCACTGGTGATGGCTAGGGCTGATTGTGATGGCCTGGCAGCCACTCAAGATACAAGTAGTACCAAGAGTCACACCTCGGGCCACCCTGTGAAGATAGAAGACCAGTTTGCACCCAATATCACCCATAGAATATTGCAGCCCCAAGACTATTATTGTGTGAGGAATTCCTCTGGAGAGAAGAACCAAACAGTTGGCCAAAATTAAGTTTTTGAGAATAAAATCCACCTGTTTTAGCTTTCGTCCAGGGTAGGAAATGAAGACGTAATGATAAAGGAGCAAAATATTTCCCAGGATTCCAACTCCTGTCTGAGCAACAAAGATGATTCTGATTGTCAGGCTGTTGGGTGACATTGAGTTATGAGGCCAATAATTTCATTCAAAGTCAACAAATCTTGAGGGGAATGGCCCAGGTGTATTTCCTCAAAGCAATTTTATGCATTGTGTGTGTGTGTGTGTGTGTGTGTGTGTGTGTGTGTGTGTGTGTGTGTTTTGGTCTTTTTGAGACAGGGTCTCGCTATGCAGTTCAGGCTGGCCTTGAGTTCACTTTGTAGTCCAGGCTGGTCTCAAACTGGTAACAATCCTCCTGCCTCAGCCTCCCAAGCGCTGGGATCACAGGCGTGCGCCACCACACCTGGCCCTCAAAGCAATTTTATATTCCATGTTTACTAGTATTTTTTCCCACTCCCACATGACTTCTCCAAAAATTTATTCCTTGTTCTTCTTTCAAGATTCAATTAGAATAGTTTGTATTTTTGTTGTTACTTTGAGTTTTTAATGCTTTAGCTGTGTTTGTTATCCTTATATAACATGCTATTATTTATTCTATCTCTGTTAAAATATACTTATCCAGTCTTTTGGTCAAATATTCCTTAGATGACTAAGTACATATTCTGTTAGCCAGTGTCCCATTTGTATGAAGGTTTGAATCTGAATTACTTTGTGGATTACTTATTGTATAATTAAAAAGTAGCAATAATTTTCATGAGTAAATTTTAGTATTTAATGTAAATGTCATTCCATATGAAGATGGTGAATTTGAAGACTCAGTCTTATTTCCTTTGGAGCAGATATACAAAGATATCACAGCAGTTATTTAAAATCCTAAACCTAGTCAAAGCTATTATCACATAGAAAGTAAAACAGAAAATACCTTAAAGCAAAAATATTAAAAGATATTTTATAGATTATTTAATTGCCTTCATTTTACATTTAGTAGAATTAATGACAGTCAACATCATATATGACAATGATAGCTGTTGTATACCTTAGCATTGAATAACATAAAAAGTATTCAAAATAGTTATAATAAAACACTCTTAAATATCTATAATGAGGGCATTTAGTAATAAAAAGAAATATACATTGCTGGAACAATGATAAAATCTATAAATGTTGTTTCTGGATAGAACACCTGACACCGTAATAGAACCATTTTTGAAAAGACCTCCGGCATTACACGAGGACAGTTTAATATCATTTATAGTTTCATGGGCTCTCTGGACATTTCTAAATTGCTACATTTAGATGCTATAAAAGATCAGTAAATTCAAACTGGGGAATAAGACATTATTTATGGAATAATTAAATGTCAACAAGAAGGGTTATATGATACCATTTATCAAATATTCTATAAGATGTATATGTTTAAATTTGATGTTAATGCAAGATCCATAGTCTACTGACAAAATTCAGAGTCCTCTAAAGCAGAGTTCACAACATACCCATGTCCAATTGTGGGAAAGATATTTTGGAGATGTTCCACTAGTGAAAGGTGGGAACGCTTTGATCTCTGGACAGAGCTAATGACAATGGAAATGTTGAAATAAACATGTTTTTCAGATTATTCAGAGTCATATCAAAGTTAACTGTGGATGTGCTAAACAAACCAGTGTTAGAAGTTACCCATATATGTGGCAATTTGGTTGACAAATTATGAACTCTTACAGGGGAAATTTCAATGGGGGCGGTTAAGGTCTCAATTTTTGAAGTATTAACTGAAAATAGCGCACTGTGTGTCAGTTGAGACACCTCCTGCTTTACAAAATTTTATGTTGTGTCTTTGTAGCCTTTAATTTTCCTACAGCCTTTTTCACTGACTGTAATTTATATCAGCACCTTTACATCTTTACCTTTTGTCTACTGTAGAGTTTAGCAGTATGTGCAAACATACAGACACACAAATACACATGCACACACATACCCAAAATTCAACTTTTCACCAAACAGCCTGAAAATGTCTCCTGGAAATCATGGAGACCTATGAATTTTGAAAATGAAGGGGCAAAATTTTAATAAATAGACTAGAGGAATGGACTAGAAAACATTCAATAAGACAGAGACTCTCATTACAGGACATACTGGAATCATAAGCCTGCTAAAGACACCAAGATTTTGTTTCCTGCAAACTGCTCCCAGGAAATCATCTGTCCCTTGAAGACTGCGTCTCTGGCTCCAAGAAGGAGTGATACTACTTAGACTAAACATGTCCATGGAGAACCCATCTTTGTCCCTTAATCACATCTGATGATCACTGTTAGAGTGATAAATGTTCCCACTCCTACAATATTCATTCTAATGCACAGTGGCTACATGATCACATGCTGGACTTAGCAATGCATGGCCCCAATCATTCCTGCAACTGTAACTACAGGATTTTTTAAAGCCACTTATATTTCAGGTCTCCTTTCCATATCTCTCACTACCAAGTGATATCCTTTAATATTTCATCAATGAAAATAGGAGGAATCACAGTGGAATGTGATTTCTTACCTGAAACCTCACTTCATAATTCTCACTTATGGCTTAGAAATATCCCTCCTCTTGGTGTGGAGTTCACGTCAGTGTGCCAGTACCACGTTAGTACAGAAGAATCACTTTCATCATGTCGTCCACATATACCGGTGTTTTCTCATGAACCTGTATGGCCCAGCCAAATATATAGTCAATTATATGTTGACTTTTGACAGGAGGGTAGACAAAGGTTGACGTGGAGGATGAATGATGTGGATCCAGCAAAGTCCTAAGAGATAATTTGGAGTTGTCTAAGCTCACTTCCCTCCAGAGCTGTGATTATCCAGTCAATTGGTGCAGAAAGAACAGTGCCTGCTCAGGGAATTGAGAATGTCTCTGAAAAACTTTTGCTTCTTAATTACTAGAGATAATTACTGGTAATTAACAATGCTCTCTCAAGGAGAAGTGAGAAGTAATGGTGAGAGAAACTTTTCTTTCATGCATAGAATGTGATGGTCCCTGCCTCACGTGGGAGAGGAGAAGAAAACAGCAAATCATGAAACTGAAAATGAAGGGAATAAGTCGAAGTGAATTATGAGCTTACATGAGGAGGTTTTTCCTACATTTTAAAACTTATGATTCTTTACATCCCAGGGAAATATCCTTTCACATAATATGGGCAGCAAAACGGGATCTTCCAGAAAACCTGAAGATGAGCTGTTGGTATGTAGAGGGGAAAAGAAAAATGGGGAAATGTGGTATAAATTCTAAAACCAAGAAACTGTCTAAAAGAATGAAGATATTTTAGGGAGCATAGTTTTGAAAGTGTTGGATGGTGCCATTGCAGTTAGTGAGCATGAGCTTTAGCTGGTCCTGGTACTGATCCTCTGAGGAATTGTAGGTAGAAGCCCTACGGCAATGGGCAGCTACCTACAAAGTGAAGAATATCGGATGGATGGAAGGCACATGGCTGCTTCATCATATTTACGCATGGAAAGACATGAAAATCTATTTGATACAATTACCTTCTTGCAAGTATTTGACATTCATAAGAAGTGGGCAACAATGAATAAAAAATAATAAGTAAAGAAATGAAGAATTTGATGACCCAGAGAAGAAGGACACCTCTTCATAGATGCAAATTGTTTGGGAAATGCTGTTCAGTAAATGAAATAATGCAATATCTAGTCATGTTACGCAGAAAGTGCTGAAAACACACATGGATCCCAAATTCAATTCGAGATCCACAGTCTCTCAGAAACCATCCTAAACACCTTGCCTTTTTACTTGCTTCATTATATTTCTTTTTCTATATATTTTAATATTTAATTCTGTAATTGTTATTGTTTTAAGACTAACATCTGTTTGATTCATTTTAAAAATCTCAGAAATTTTGTTACAAAGGCTCACTGATATAAAGAAAAGGATATTTACTCATGAGCTGAAATGTTCTGTGTGGGTGAGTGGGTAAGAAAGAATGTACACAGTGCCCTGCAGACTGTCCTTCTTTGAAAGGGCTCTTTGTCACATTAGACACTAGTTTTCACCAGGAGTTTGTGTTTAGGGCTTAACAGTGGTTGTTATATTACATATTTTTATCTTCAGTGAAGTTGTTCAGATTATCAGATGTAAGAATCCAATATTGATTAAACCATTAAAGAGAATAAAGAATAATAAAAAGAATTGATACAGAGCTTCACTAGGCAAGACGGTAGGAATTCACTAATTGTTGTTATATTGCACATTGTTGTCTTCAAATTACTTGTTCAGATTACCAGATATAAGCATGCAAAATGGGTCAAAAAATTTAAGCATTAACTGTTCCTTTCAATACACAATTAGAATCAGCAGTACAGTTATCACAGCTACCCACAGACATTTTTCCCTTGCTTCTTTCTTTTTCTCCTTTCCCTCATCAGTTGTTCCTTCCTTTGAGCAATTTCTTTCACTTTCACAATATCTATTGTACATTTTGGGTTTTATTGACTCTTTTAGGTTCTTATATTAGGGAGACAATACAATGTTTACACATGTGGGTCTGTTTTATTTCACTTATGAGTATGGTCTCTAGTTGCATCCATTTACCTATGAAAGCCTCGAGTTTATCTTTTTAAATAGCTGAGTAATACTCCATTGTAGAAAAATACCACAACTTTTTTATCCATTCCTCAGTGGATGGGCATCTGGGTTGTTTCCAAGATTTAGCTCTAACAAATGGCGCTGCTATAAACATGGGTGCACATATATCACTGTGGTATGATGTCTTTAAATCTTCTGGGAAAAAACCCAGAAGGGGAATAGCTGGGTTAAATAGGACTTCCAATTCTAGTTTTGTGAGGAATCTCCAAATTGATTTCCACAGTGGTTTCACCAATCTACACTCCCACCAGCAGTGAAGTAGGGTTCCTTTCTCCCCACAGCCTCTCCAGCATTTGTTATTGGTTGATTTCTTGATGATAGCCATTCTTTCTGGGGTGAGATGGACTCTCAGTGTTGTTTTAATTTGCATTTCTTGAATGACTAATGACGTTGAACATTTTTTCATGTATTTATTCACCATTAGTATCCCTTCATTAGAGAAGTGTATATTCATCTCAGATGCCCATTTTGGATTGGGTCTT